CACTCAGACACACACACACACATCCAGACACACACACACACACACACCCAGACACACACACACACTCAGACACACACACACACATCCAGACACACACACACACTCAGACACACACACACACCCAGACACACACACACTCAGACACACACACCCAGACACACACACACACCCAGACACACACACACACACTCAGACACACACACACATCCAGACACACACACACACTCAGACACACACACACACTCAGACACACACACACACACACACACGCAGACCCACACTCTCACACACAGACAGACATACACACACATTCACAAATACACATACACAGACAGAAGGACACACAGACAGACACACACATAGATAGACACACACACACAGACACACACACACACCCACACACAGACATACACACATAGATAGAGACACACACAGAGACACAAACAGACAGTCACACACACTCACACACATTCACAAAAACACACACACAGACAGAAAGACACACACACACACAGACACAAACAGACACACACACACAGACAATGCAGTGATTTTGAAAATTCTGGGGTGATTTTCCCAGCCGCTGTCACTCTCCCTGACACAAGGTCCCTCACCTCCCCCTGGGCCACCCCCCCGCTACTCTAAGGAGAACCTTGTCCAACTTCTCCAGGCTTACCCCTAATTCTTCGTAGTATCAAGGGAGATGTGGAGACATAAGGCCAACTTGTGTGAAATTTGCAGGTAAGTCTGCCATCTAGTGCTGTCACACAGTAATGCAAGTTAAAAAATCAGAAACTTTACCACCTCTCTCCACACAGCCCAAGGGCCCAGACATATGGATGGCACAGTGGTTAGTCAGGGACGCAGGTTTGATTCTAGCCTCGGGCGACTGTCTGTGTGGAGTTTGCACATTCCCCCCGTGTCTGCGTGGGTTTCTGCCACAGTCCAAAGATGTGCAGGTTAGGGTGGATTGGCCGTGCTAAATTGCCCCCATAGTGTTCAGGGATGTACAGGTTAGGTGGGTTAGTCATGGGAAATGTGGGGTCCCAGGGATAGGGTGGGTCAGTGAGTCTGGGAAGAATGCTCTTTGTGTGCCCGGTGCTGACTAAATGGGCTGAATGGCCTCTTTCTGTACTGTAGGGATTCCGTGTTTCTATATCTTCTCGGTGAAGCAGTGATTTTACCAACAGAACATTCAATCTAGTCTAGTGTATTTGCTTCTCACACTGTGGTCTTCTCTACACTGGGGAGACCACTCTGCAAAACACCTATATTCTGATTGCAATATGATCCTTAGCTTCCAGTTCCCTGCCACTTCAACAGATCACCGTGTTCCCTGGACAACGTTTTTGCCTCGGGCCTGTTGCAGTGCTCTAGCAAAGCAAGCTCAAAGCTCCTTTTTGGCCTGGGGAGCCTGCAGCCTGTTCCTAGTTTGTATATAAGTGTCCAGCGTTCCAACGGAGCACAAAGATAAGGCTGTGAAGACACTCAGGAGTTCCCCTTAAAGTGCATTATTGATCAGGAAGAAAAAGCAACCGATTGTTCAAAATGGTGTAACATAGTGTGGAGCTGGAGGAACACAGCAGCTCGGGCAGCATCAGAGGAGCAGGAAAGTTGACGTTTTTCTGAAGAAGGGTCCCGACCCGAAACGTCAGCTTTCCTGCTCCTCTGATGATGCCCGACCTGCTGTGTTCCTCCAGGTCCACACTGTGTTATCTCTGACTCCAGCCTTGGCAGTTTTTATTATCTGTTCAAAATGGCAGCCACTCATTCGTCAAACTGCATCATGCTTTGAGCCCCGATATCTAAACGATAAAGTCGAGCGCTAGAGAAGGAAGAAAAATGAAGCAAATCCCACTTTCCAGGCCCCTGTACCTCATAGGATGTGTGGTCTTATGTACCCAAATTCCATGAGTCAAGAATCAGACCGAACAGGCAGAAACTCGTGACCTTAGGTAAGAGGTCATTTTCAAATTGAGGGACAACCGGTCATGAGTCAGAGGATGATGCAGGACAGAAGAAGGCCCTTAGGCCCATCGTGTCTGTATTGGCGCCTTGAAATATTCGTCCCTCTCCACTGCTGTTTTCTCGTAGTCCTGTGAGATTGACCCTGTCAAATCCCTGGAAGGTTTTTGTGAATTCTAAATGTACTATTTGCATAGACAACAAGAACAGAAATTTCTTATTTATTTGATTGATTGATTGTCCAAAATACAGTGAAAAGCTTTGTTTACAAGTAGTACAGGCAGATCATAGTCAGCAAAGGATGTAAAGATCAAAAAGTTTTAGACAAAGGCATAGAGGTTACATTGCACAGGGCGTGCACGAGGCGAGATCAACATTAGCAAGATCAGCGTTATTTGAGGGTAGAGAGTCCGTTCATCAGTCTGATAACGGCTGGGAAGAAGCTGTTCCTGAACCTGCTTGTGTGTATGTTCAAGTTTCTGTATCTTCTGCCTGATGGAAGAGGTTGTAGGAGATCATTTCCGGGGTGCGATGGGTCTTTGATGATGTTGGCTGCCTTTCTGCAGCAGTGAGTCGTGTAAATAGAGTCCATGGATGGAAGGTTGGCTTCCATGATGGTCTGGGCTGTGCACACCACCTTCTGTAATTTCTTATGTTCAGAGCAGTTGCTATACCAGGCCGTTACGGACCTGGACAGAATGCTTCCAATAGTGCACCTGTAGGAGTTGGTGAGGGACCTTGTGGACATGCTAAATTTCCTGAGCTGCCTGAGGAAGAAGAGGCTCTTAACTGTCACATTTACGTGGGATGTCCAGGACAGGTCGTCAGTTATCGTCACTCCGAAGAACTTGATGCTCTTCACCCTCCCAACCTCAGTTCTGTTGATGTAGATGGAGGTGTGTTCTCCTCCTTTCTTTTTGAAGTCAATGATCAGTTCTTTAGTTTTGCCGAATTTGAGAGACAGATTATTTTCATTGCACCACATCACCAAGCCCTCTATCTCCCTTCTGTATTTTGACTTGTCATTGTTAGATATCCATCCCACTATAGTGGTGTCATCAGCGAACTTGTAGATGGCGTTCGTTTGGAATTTGACAACACAGTCATGGGAGTACAGAGAGTACAGTAGGGGGCTAAGGATGCATCCATGGGAGGCTCCAGCATTGAGTGTTATTATGAAGGAGGTGCAGTTACCTCTCTTCACTGATTGTGGCCTGTGGTCAGAAAGCTGAGGATCCAGTTGCAGAGGGTGGAAGGTTATGGAGTTTTGAGATTGGCCTGGAGGGGCTAATGGTGTTGAAGGCGGAGCTGTAGTCAACAAGCAGGAGTCTGGAAAAGCTCAGCAGGCCTGGCAGCGTCTGTGGAGAGAAATTAGAGTTAACGTTTCGGGTAGAGTGTCCTGTCCTCAAAAACTGTTCTGAGGAAGGGTCACTTGTCCCGAAATGTTAACTCTGATTTCTCTCCACAGATGTTGCCGGACCTGGGCTGAGATTTTGAAGCAATTTCTGTTTTAGTTTCTGGTTTAGAGCATCTGCAGTTCTTTTGGTTTTTATTTACTGTTTGCGTAGAGACAAACTCACAAGGCAGACACCCTCCATAGACTCTGCATACCTGAAATAACACGGCGTATTTTATTCTTCTCCTCATCAACACTCTCCTCCCATTCTGGTAAAAATACCTGCACATCACAAACTCACAAGGCAGACACCTTCCATAGACTCTGCATACCTGAAATAACACGGTGTATTTTATTCTTCTCCTCATCAACACTCTCCTCCCATTCTGTTAAAAATACCTGCACATCTCTCATTATTCAAAATTGTGATAACACCGACTTGCATTTCAACATTATATATTGAAAAAAATTATGGATGCATGATGACCAGTGCGGGCACAGAGTCATACAACACAGAAACTGACTCTTTGGTCCAACCAGTCCATGCCGAACATAATCCCAACTAAGCTAGTCCAACAAGTCTGATCCTGGCCCGTATCGTTCCAAACTTTTCCTATTCATGTACTTATCCAAAATGTCATAGTCATAGAACTATACATCACCAAAATAGACCCTTTGGTCCAATTCATCCACGCCGACCAGTTAAATCTAATCCCCTTTATTTTTATTCATTCATGGGATGAGGGTGTTGCTGACCAGGCAGCATTTATTGCCCATCCCTAATTGTCCAGAGTCAACCCCATTGCTGTGGGTCTGGAGTCACATGTAGTCCAGACCAGGTAAGGAAGGCAGTTTCCTTCCCTAAAGGACATTAGTGAACCAGGTGGGTTTTTCCGACAATCAACAATGGATTCACGGTCATCATTAGGTTCTTAATTGCAGATATTTTATTAAATTCAGATTCCACCATCTGCTGTGATGGGATTCGAACCTGTGTCCCCAGAAAGTTATCTGGGTCTCTGGATTAACAATCCAGCGATAATACCACCAGACCATCACCTCCCCAGCATTTTCCATATATCCCTCTAAATCTTTCCTATTCATATACCCCACCAGATGTTTTTTAAATGTTATAATTGTACCCACATCCACCACTTCCTTGGAAGTTCATTCCATAAGTGAATTACCCTCTTGTGTAAAAAAATTGCCCCTGGTATCTTTTTTAAATCTCCCTCCTCTCATTTTAAAAATGTGCCCTCTAGTCGTAAAATCCTCCATCCTAGGGAAAAGACAACTACCATTAACTCTACCAATACCCCTCAATATTTTATAAACATCAGTCTTTTTCCGTTCTGTAAACACTCTAAGACTAGTTGGATGATTGATTGGTTGCAGACGAGCTACAGTGGATGTGAATGGATGGTGCTTCTTCAAGAAAAGTCACATTAGACTCAAAATGTTAACTCTTGCTTCCATCTCCACAGAAGCTGCCAGCCTTGCTGAGACTCTCCAGCGTTTTCTGTTTGATTCAGATTTCCAGCATCTGCAGCGTTCTGATTTTTTAAAAAAATAATTATTAATTCATTGGAAGAGGGTGTTGCTGAAAAGGCCAGCATGTATTGTCCATCTCACATCGCTCAGAGGACTGTTAAGAATCAAACGCGTTGGTGTGGGCCTGGAGTCATGTAGTGAACAGACCAGGTAAGGATGGAAGATTTCCTTCCCTAAAGGACATGAGTGAACCAGGTGGGTTTTTACAACAATCGATAGTAGTTTCATGGTCACCATTACACCTTGATATCTTTATTAATTAATATCTTAATTCCTGATATTTTTCTTTTGAGTTCAAATTCCAATATATGCTGCGGCAGAATTTGACACTGGAACTCCAGAACAGTGAGAAATTTGAGTGAGAAATGATCATTTGAGCTAGAGTTAGAATTTAAGCTATAATTATCAAAGCTTGTGTTGGCATGTAGACTTCATTCTTGTAAAGGATGGAGTGCTGGGTATGGCCCTTTAAGAGGGTGACGTGTACACCCTCGGTGACGTCACGAAAGGCTCCACCTAATTGTATCACAAAGGGGCCGTTCCACTGACGTCACCAAAGGGGGCGGGACGTTCCTTACGGAAGTGACGACACCGGTCGCCATGGTGGTCGGCGCCTTCCCCATCGCCAAGCTGTTGATGCTTGGGATCCGCCAGGTCAGCCGGCCGCTAGCCAACTCCATCAAGGCCAGCGCCCGGAGGAATCCATTCTTTAAGCGTTACATCTGCTTGCCCCCGGCGCAGGGTGAGTGAGGCAGCCGCGCAGCCAGAAGCGGGTTGGCCCCGGGGGGGGGGGGGGGGGGACTTACCGCCGGATGTCCAGCCCGCCACGGTCGATGACCGACAGCCGCTGCGACCAATGGGACCCACGGGTATTGGCATAGTGACCAATCACTGTGTCGCTGGTGCTGACTGACGGGCGGAGGGCGGGGCTTCTTGGGATAGGCTGCTGGCTGAATGTCACTTTGAGGCTGGAGAGAGGCACAAGCACAGAATGGTGCAGGAGGCCACTCAGCCCATCGCGTCAGGACGGGCTCCCTGCGCATTTTCATTCAATGCTAAATTCCTGCCTTTCTCCACGACCCTGAACATTGTTTCTCGTTAACAATACCTTGGATGTGGAGTCACAGGTAGACAGGATAGTGAAGAAGGCGTTTGATATGCTTCCCTTTATTGGTCAGTGCATGGAGTATAGGAGTTGGGATGTCATGTTGAGGACTTTTTTTCTATTCATTTGTGGAATGCGTGTGTCGTTGGCTGGGCCAGCATTTATTGCTCATCCCTAGTTGCCCTTGAGAAGGTGGTGGTGAGCTGCCTTTTTGAACTACTGCAGTCCTCCTGCTGTAGTTTGGCCCACAATGTCCCTTAGGGAGAGAATTCCAGGATTTTGACCCAGTGACAGTGGAGGAACGGTGATATATTTCCAAGTCAGGATGGTGAGTGGCTTGGAGGGGAACTTGGAGGTGGTGGTGTACCTATATGTCTGCTGCCCTTATCCTTCTAGATGGAAGTGGTCATGGGTTTGGAAGGTGCTTTAGTTAATTTCTGCAGTGCATCTTGTAGATAGTACACACTGCTGCTACTGAGTGTCGGTGGTGGAGGGAGTGGATGCTTGTGGATCATGCCACTCTGCTTTGAACACATATTCCAAAAGTGATCTAACCAATTGCACAATGTTCAGCACCATTCGTGACTCCTCAGATACTGAGGCAGTCCATGTTCAAATGCAAAAAGATCTGGACAATATGCAGGCTTGGGCTGACAAGTGGCAAGTGACATTCTTGCCATACAAATGCCAAGCTAAGACCATCACCAATAACAGGCTGCTTTGTCCTGGATGGTGTCAAGCTTCTTGAGTGTTGTTGGAGCTGCCCCCATCCAGGCAAGTGGGGAGTATTCCATCACACCCCTGACTTGTGCCTTGTAGATGGTGGACAGGCTTTGAGGAATCAGGAGGTGAGTTACTCGCCGCAGTATTCCTAGCTCCTGGCCTGCCCTTGTAGCCACTGTGTTTATGTGGTGAATCCAGTTGAGTTTCTGGTCAATGATTGAATCCCCCAGCATCAATATCCTGGGGGATTCAGTGATGATAACACCGTTGAATGTCAAGGTGTGGCGGTTACATTGTCTGTTATCGGTGATGGTCTTAGCTTGGCATTTGTATGGCAAGAATGTCACTTGCCACTTGTCAGCCCAAGTCTGCATATTGTCCAGATCTTTTTGCATTTGAACATGGACTGCCTCAGTATCTGAGGAGTCACGAATGGTGCTGAACATTGTGCAATTGGTTAGACCACTTTTGGAATATGTGTTCAGTTTTGATCTCCCTGCTATAGGAAGGATGTTGTGAAACTTGAAATGGTTCAGAAAAGATTTACAAGGATGTGGCCAGGGTTGGAGGGTTTGAGCTATAGGGAGAGGCTGAATAGGCTGGGGCTATTTTCCCTGGAGCATCAGAGGCTGAGGGATGACCTTAGAGTTCTATAAAATAATGAGGGGCATGGATAGGATGAATGGTCAAGGACTTTTCCCCAGGGTAGGGGAGTGCATAGGTTTAAGGTGAGAGGGGAAAGATTTAAAAGGGATCTAAGGGGCAACTTTTTCATGCAGAGGGTGGTGTGTATATGGAATGAGCTGCCAAAGTGGAGGAGGCTGGTACAATTACAACATTTAAAAGGCATCTGAATAGGAAGCGTTTACAGGGATATGGGTCAAATGCTGGCAGATGGGACTAGCTCAGTTTAGGATATCTGATGGGCATGGACAAGTTGGACCAAAGGTCTGTTTCCATGCTGGACAGCTCTATGACTCGATGATACTGAAGGCTATGGAAGCCAAGTTGCTGAAGATACATTCAAAGGGAAAGGTGAGGGTTTTGGGGGAGGGTAATGGATGAGACAGTGCGAGGAAAGGTGGACGTGGTTGTGGAGGGGAAGATGGGAATTGGTGGGAGCACTGGGAAGTAAAGGAGTGCAGGGTATGGGGTAAATAGGGAGGTGAGAGTGAGTAATAGGCAGGCTATGGAAATGTAAATCTGGTCACATAGGAGTGGAGTACTACTATTCACTTTCAGTTTCACTGGATTTGGGCCTTTTATAAGATTCTTCCTCTGAAAGCTGTAAATCCAGAAAGGACGGTGAAAGGAGTAATTCATGTATGCACTCCTTGATTGACTTCAACACCCAAAACACTGAATAATGTTCCCATCTGCCAGAACTTTCAGAGACTTTTTCCTGGTGCTTTGTTTCAGCACTGGTACCCCAAAAGCTCAGTTTTGAAAGTTGGCTATTTGTTCAAACAAGGAAGGCATCACAGATCAACCTTAGAGTCTGTACATCTTCAAGCAAGATTGGGGGAAGGGGTGCAATTGGACAGTGATCAGGAGCAGAAGCACTGGTTGGTTTTATCTTAAGTATGGAATGTCAGACATGGTGTGTGTAGCCCTGGGCGAGGGAGGTGAATTTAGCACAGGCTGGGGATAGAAAATGCACCTGGGTGTTGGAGGTAGACTGTTTGTGAGTTGGCAGAATTCCTGGAATAGACGTTGAGACAGAGACTGCGACCTGACTTGGTGTCCCTTCTGTTGCAGTCTATCACTGGATTGAAATGAAAACCAAGATGAGGATCATGGGGTTCAGAAGTGGTCAGGTGCAACCCTTGAGCGAGGAGGTGGCAGCGGACCTGGGTGCTGAGCTCCTGGGAGAGGGGATTGTGTTCTTTATCGGAGGTGTCTGCATCTTTGCCGAGTACATGAGGCAGTCTGCCAACTCAGCGAGGAAAGAGGAGGAATTGAACAGCACGCTGCAGAGCCTGCAGGAGCAGGTCGCCCAGCTCTCCCTGACCGTCGAGGAACTCGACGCCCGCATCCGAGAAAACCATCGCCTTGTCCACTCTCTGCCTCAGGCCTCGAAGTAGCACTCTGCTCCGAGTTTCGAGAGAGACCGTGATGACTGGTTTTAAAAAAAAAAAAAATCCGTTGACGGGGATGAAAGTTAGCCCAATTCAGACAGTTGCTTGGGTTTTAAAAAACTCTTCCAAGTGAGTCCTGCTATGTTAGGATGCGGGAGCAGAAGGGTTTGAGCACTGAAGACTAATCACTTGCCTCCTGTAAAAAACCTCTGATTTTTGACACAAGTGTGGATGCTGTAAATTCCTTTGTATTGTTTGTACTCACATATTTGAATTCATGGCTGTATAAACCATTGTTTGTGCTGTCACTGTGGGTGTGCCTTGGGACCCCATAACAGTTTGGCAATCATGTGAGTTTAAATTTTGCTGCGTTGTGTTGAACCATTCCCTGGGTTAAGACAGAGTTTCATGCCATGTAAGTTACTTTGCACTGGAGGACCCAGGAGTTGGAAGGAGCTATAGTCTCGCAACACAGTGCCTTGCAGAAACTGCTTTTGAGAACCTGTGTCACCCTGACTTGCCTCGTTTGAGTAAAGCAAATGTCTCTTTCACCCACAATAGTGTCTACTGCTTGGAAAACACTACTGTGTTTGGTAATTTTGGTCAAAAGGGTATTTTTCAATGTGCAACGTTGCCACATTCGAGTTTATATTCCTGGCTGTATTTTAGTTCTGTGCACACACTTAGATGTGTTAAAAAAATTTAAGACTGGTCAATGACAGAGACACACATCTTGCACCTTTAGGATGAATTGTCATTTTTCTTTCTTGTAGCCTTTACCAGTACGCTAAACGTGTCCAGTAACAAGAAAACAAGTAAAATTGTAAGGGGATACCAAATGCCAATTTACATAAAGGAATGATAACTTGCACTGACAATGTGGCACCCCAACAGCTTTATAGGGAGAGGACTTCTGAGCTTCTGAATCCCACCTTCTGATCTTGTATTGCAGACTCTCCTTGCGTTACTGCCTGAGCTAGTGATTTATTTAAAAGTGAAATATGGATCATGTTTCTTCATTTCTGGTGGAGTTATAAACTTCACCAGTAAAGGGCTGGATTTACTTTCCATTCTGTTAACGGTAGCATTTTTTTTGTCAGTGGGAAAGGATTGAGGCTCCCTCCCTATCCCTCTCTCCTGAACCCTTCCACAATGTTAATATTTTGCTAAAGTGCAACTATGTATAACATCAAGTTGAGTTGTGAAAAAATCACTGGCAGGATAGGCTATCTGAATCTGTGGATTTAATCCCAAGAGCATCCTGAAGGGGTGACGGCTGAGTAAATGTTGGGAGTCTGCCTGGGGTCATGAATTAAAGGTACATTTAAACTTGTTTCTCAAATTGGAAACATGGTGAAGGGAGACTATCGCCATTTTGAAATCGTCAGGTGATGAAGACTATGCTTGCTCTATTACTACATTTTCACAATTACCATGTTTGTATTGAAAATACACTTGAGTATTAGGCATTGGCTTCACTAAGATATTTTCATATCTAGAATAAATTTGTGGAGGCCAAATTGTTACTTGTAATAATGCATCTACACAAATGGACTCCAGGGTTCCAGTTTCATTAGCATTGTAGTGGCTGGGAATGGTAACACTAAAATGGCCAGTTGTGCTTACCTCAATTTCACACACAGCCCAACTGTGGCTCAGAGGAAAGCTCTCTTGCCTCTACATCAGGCAGATGTGAGCTCCAGTCCCAATTTAGACAGATTGAAGCATAATATATTTGACTGATTGGGACTCTGTTGGAGATGCCACCTTTCAGTGGCAAACAACAGGGTTGTGATTGTGGTGCCAACAGTATGGGTTCAATTCCCACACCAGCTGAAGTTACCATGAAGGATTCTCCTCAACCTCTCTCCTGACCTGAGCAGTCATGACCCTTGAGTTGAACCACCACTAGTTCTCTCTTCGATGTGAGTGCATCCCTGTGGTCCAGTAGGATAATATTACAACTACTTTTTTGTTTAAAAGCAATAGGTACTTGATTCTTACCATTACCGTATTGTAATTTTCTCAGCTTCCCCGTCCGACCCCTTCAGTAATCTCTGCTCATTCCCCAAGATTGCAAAAGATAGGTGTGGAGTGTTAGTAGGACTGTGGATACTGAGGTCTGTGAGTGTGTGGGGTCTCAGCACAGTGATGTGATCTATGCTTTAATGACTAACATGCTCATTTATCTTCAATAAAAGATTTATTTACAAAACAATTGTAAAATCATAAATAAAATCTATTGATGACAGTGTGATTTGTTTAAAACTTGAATATAATGAAGCTACGAGTGGCAACAGTAGGGTCACCTACAGTACACACTTAAGACAACAGTAAATTGTAGCTGTCTGCCAAATCCTTGTACCATTCTTTGTTGTTGGTGCCATGGCAGGGATGGGTTAAGGAACAGCTGCAGGAATTAATGCCGAACTTGAAATTAGAAGCAGTTTAGTTATGACTGCAAGCAGGGTCATTAAACCTACAACTAAAATAAACATCTTCCACCTCTCATACTCTAATGTGCCAGCTTTAGAGTAACTGTGCACTACTTGCACTCAGCAAGTACAAAACAATCCTTTCTATAAGGTTAAAGCTGCCTTGGTGAAAATCAGCCCGAACTCCAATTCTGATATCAAAGGTATCTAAAACCGAATAGTCAAAAATGTGTCAGCTGCACTGTCAGTCTTGGAGCCTTTTTGGTTTTTAACTTCGAGACTGGAACTACTGTGCCCCGTCTCAAGCTGTAGGAGAGCGACAGCAAGGAGATGACTGAGTTGTCCATGTGTATGACATGAGTTACAGCTCTCTGTCCAGCTCAGCTCAGCACAGAACTGGTAAAACGCAACAGCACAGTATGACAAAAGACTCCTGCTACCCTCGACAGCATGGTTTTAGCTAACAGTGACAAAAAGAATGACAACTAACTAGGACTGAGCTCACCTGAACCCAAACCAACACATAAAAAAAAATTAAAATAAATAAGTAGATCCCTCAAACTAATCAGGAAGAAAGTCTGAAGCATTGCATCGACACATGAGAATTTACCCACTGGAAGGGGAAAAAAAAGAAGCACTAGTGGTGTTTGCACGCATAAGTCACAGCATAAGCTGTGGCACGGTTATAAGTTTTACTCACCCAGGGGTGGCCTCAACACATCCCAGGCCAACCCCAGAGAACTGCAAAGGCCAGATCACTGAATTTAGTTAAGGCGGAGTTAGATGGATTTTTAAGAATAGATTAGGAGGTAGGCAGGAAAGTAGAACTTATGACTTGATAAGATCAGCCACAATCTTACTGTATGGTGGAGCAGGCTCAAGGGGCCGAATGGCCTCATCCTGCTCCCTGAGCTGATAATTCAGAACCAGCTTTCACAAGACACCACAAATTTTCCCACCAGCACATCTTCCTCTTGAATTACATCCAGTCTGCCACTACATTTACCTCAAAAATAAATTTTAAAAAATTAATAAAAGCACAAGTTTAAAAATAGGACATGAACCAATTAGGTCAAAATCCACAGTAGCTGGTCAGTTTGCAATTCTCCAGTCACCATTACACAAGCAGCACAGGGGAGGGTCATTTGAAAGTCACAGACAAGATAAAAACTGCAAAGATTTCTCAAGTGTTGCCGTGCGACTGGTTTGATGAAACAGAAAATAGAACCAAAGAGAAAGCTGCATGATCTACAAATACAGACAGCATTCAGGCAAATTCGCTTTAGAAATCATGCACCTGATTAAGAGTGAAAGGTCTGGGTTGACCAAAAAATCTTGACCGGTAATCTCAGTGCGTCACAGAAAGAAAGTTTAAGGGAATAGAAAAGGCTAAATGCCAAATATTACTTAAATTGCAGCTTTAAGGCTGAGATAGATAGATTCTTGATCAGTAGGGGAAATCAAGGGTTATGGGGGTAGGGCAGGAATGTAGACACGAGTGTTGGATTAGCCACGATCCTACTGAATGGGGCCAAATGGCTAATCAAGTTCTTATTCCATTCTTAACAGGAATCAGTGGAAACCGCTACAGGTAAATTTTGAAGTGATATTCTGGAATTCTTCAAAAATGAACTTGTAGATGGAGAAGGTAAAGTGTTGGAAACATGAAATAATTTGATACTAAAACAAGGACAAAAAACTCGTTCTGATCAAATGGTCGTAATTTATAAAAGGAGAGATTAGGCCTGTATTCTTCAGAGTTTAGACAGGTGATCTCACTGAAACTCACAAAATTCTTAAGAACTCAACTGTGTGGATGCAGAAAGGAGTTTCACTGAGCGCCCTTGTTCGAGACAGGCCCACAGCTAGTCAGAGTAAGGGAGAAAAGGGGAATTTATTTGCTCACAGGGTGGTGAATCTTTGGAATTAGTGACCCCACAGGTTGGGGAGGCTTGGACACTTAAGACAGAAATCGACAGATTTCAAAAAACTAATGATATGAAGGCATATGGAGTAATGTGGGAAAATAGCTTTGAGGTATATCAGCCATAATCTAGAATGGCAGAGCAGGCTCGAAGGGCTGAATGGCCTACTGTTGCCCCTTCCCACGTACTTAACAATAGCCTTGTTACGTGAATTAACTGAAATCGTCAAAGTTTCCCGCTTTCTGTTTTATTTTATGGCACTGTATCCAGACCTTTCAGGAGTGGAATTACGAAACACTTCCACAGATGAAGTGCGACAGAAATGAAAACAAGGTGCCAGAGAAACTCAGCAGGTCTGGCAGCATGTGGAGAGAGAAACAGAGTCAACTTTGAGGGTGGAGTGCGATTCCTCTTCAGAGCAAAAGGAAGGTAGAAATGGGGTGGGTTTTATGCTGTAGGTGGGACTGTAGAACAAACAGAAGGTCAGACAGCAGGAGAGATAAAATCATGAAACAATAGGCAAAGAAAGTGATGATGATAGTAAGAAGTTTGGAACTCGCTTCCAGAGAGAGCAGCTAAATCCATTGTTAATTTTGAATCAGACTTAGTTTTGTTGACCAAAGGCATGGATATGTGTCAGGAAGGCATACGGAGCTCAGTTGCAGATCAGACAAGGTCTTAACGAATGATGAGTCAGGAGCAAGGGGCTAAGTGACTGACTCCCTTTTCCTAGGCAACATCTAATTCATTGAACAGCCATGTGTCTTCTGTCCTGTTACACTCGATTGTCTGTGCTTGTCTGATATAGGAATTGCAACCAGGGAATCTAGCACTCAGTTATTTCATACTCAGCTCTCTGAATATTGTACGGGATACTGGGGAGAACCATGATCTGTATTCACATGACAAGTTCTGCTAGCCCATTTTCACCAGCCACTGGTTGTGATCTCCCAAGTGAGGAGCTAGCAGGATAGTCAACTGGTTAAGAAATTGGTTACACCTGATCAAACCCAGCTCCAGACACAAGATAATTTCAGTTAAGCATTCTGTAGTGTTCAGGTTGCATTTGGCCACGAGGTTTGTCACACAAAAGGTGACAACTCTCACCAACTGTTCAGAAACTTATCCCATTTTAAAAAAGTCCTATTTACAGCGAACAAATCAAATCATTCAGTTCTTCCATCTAGGCTGGGAAAAGGAAGCCCTGTTTAGCCCATGCAGGTTGGCTGATTCCGACGTGGGCTACACGGGTGGTGTGATTGGTGTGGGGCCTGTTGTGTCTGCGTCCACACGCTCGTACCCAGCCCCCTCTGTCCCCCTCCCGTGCCCTCAGTTTGTCATACAGCACCCGACTGAAGGATCTGCTCCTCGGCTCACTCGGTCCGTGCACCAAGCTTCTCCATGTACTCCTGCAACGCGTTGAGCCTGGCATCGATTTCAGAAAGGTCGCACGAGTCTAGATAATTTTCTGGAGGGAGTGGGGAAGAAAGGCTTTTAGACGATTCCATCTTTGGAAATCCAACTTGGTATCAGAGCTGCGCTAAACACATAAACACTATTTTGTTCCTCTGCTTGCACACTTGCTGAGCCAGGTAGTTTCCACACCACATCTGCACGGCCGACTGCTCCTTCGCCTGGTTCTTCTTTCTCTCCAACAGGAATCTTGCACCCAGCAGTGGGGCTGAAATCAGGGGTTCAGATTATAGCAAGAGGAATGGAATGTAAATGTAGGCATGTTTCGCTACATGTGTACAGGGGGTTGGGGACACCACACCTGGAGCACTGAGTGAAGCTTCAGCCTCCTTGTTTAAGAAAGGACATCGTTGCAGCTGAGAGAAGGTTCATTCGACTCATTCGTGGCATGAGGCAGTTAACGTACGAGGAAAAATTGGATTAAGTTGAGCCTGTATCGATCAAGTTTAAGAGAACGAGAGGTGACATTGAGACATACAAGATCCTGGAGGGACTGGACAGGGCAAAAAGGGGTTTCCCTTTGGTCGGAGAGACTGGAACTAGGGGACACAGTTTAAAAACAAAGGGTGTCCCATTTAACATTGGGATAAGAAGGAACGTTCTCTCCTGGAAGGTCGTGAATCCTTGGAGGTCGCCCCCTTATAATAATGGGGAACGAAGGAGGTCAAAGGGTATTGGAGGTAGGCAGGAAAGTGAAGCTGGGACCACAATCAGATCAGTCATGATTGTACTGAACAGTGGAGCAGGTTTGAGAGGCTGAGTAGCTGCTACTCCTAATCTGTATGTTATTTGCAAGATGCACAAAGCTCGTATGAGCTACACAGCACTGCATTGCCAAGCTTAAACTAGGAGAAATACCACCACCCAGGCAGGCTCTCCAACTGTGATGCAGGCACCCTGCGAATGCTTTCTCCTTCTGTTCTGTGGCCCGCTGTAATCTATCCTCGATCCCCTCCCATTTCTCATTTACATGCTGTTCCTGGCAAAAACACATTTCACACTGACACCAATGGCACTCCAGCTCTACCTCACCATCACCCCTTCAACTGTTCCACTTGCTAAAGTATCGCTCAAATAAAAGTGAAATACTGCAGATGTTGGAAATCTGAAACTAAACAGTGACAGAGAAACTCAGCACATCTGGAGAGTCCAGTGTGACTCAAACTGATAAGTTCTGAAGAAGAGTCATACTGGACTTGAAATGTTTCTCAAACCAGAGACATACAACACAGAAACACACCCTGCGGTCCAACCAGTCCATGTCAGCCATAATCCCAAAACTAAACTGGTTCCACCTGCTTGCACTTGGCCCATATCCGTCCAAACCTTTCCTATTCGTGTATTTATCATCTAAATGTGTTTTAAATGTTGTAACTGTACCTGCATCTACCACTTCCTCAGGCAGTTCATTCCACAAGTGAACCCCTGTGTAAAAATAAACTGCCCCCATGTCTTTTTAAATCTTTCATCTCTCATTTTAAAAATATGGCCCCCAGTTTTGAAATCCCCCACCCTAGGGAAAAGACACCCGCCATTCACCTTATCTATACCCCCCATGATTTTATAAACCCCTAATAAAGATCACCTCCCAACCTCCCATGCACCAGTAAGAAAGTGTCCCAGCTTATCCAGCCTCTCCCCATAACTCAAACCCTCCATTCCTGGCAACATCCTGGAAAATCTTTTCAGAACCCTCTCCAATTTAACAATATCCTTCCTACAACCGGGTGACCAGAATTGCACACAGTACTTTAGAAGAGGCCTCACCAAAGTCACCTACAACATCCAAACTTCTATACTCAAAACGTCTAAGTGATGAAGGCAAGCATGCTAAAGCTAAGCTGCGGAGTTTCTATGGCATTTTGTTTTAATTTCTGCTAAAATGATCAGGCTGCTTATCTGACTTCCAGTACTGGAGCAGCAGAAATGTCCTCCACTGGGGACAAGTTTCTGGTTCCTGCTCCAGACGCTGTTCCCTAGTTAGTGACTCCATCTCTCTCCCTGGCGATGGAGTGTTCGCAATCTTTGTCACATTGATTCCGAGATGAGCTTCTACTCAAGACTTCTCTCACTCCTGGAACACCAACTGGCTTTTCCCCTGTTTCAGCTCATCTGCTGCTGAAAGCCTCCTTCATCCCTTTACTTCTAGCTGGACTATTCGGACATGTTCCTGGCTGATCTTGCACATTGCTGTCCAGATCCGAATTCACATCAAATCCCACTCCCAGACCACCCTTGTGCTCACCAACGTACACTGGCTCCCAGTAAAGAATTCTGCAGTCCTCACCTTTGTACTCATATCGTTCCATGGCCTCATCTCTATAACCTCCTCCAGCATCATGACCCTCCGAGATCTCAGCACTCCTTCAACTCCAGCCTCTCGAGATTTTAAAATCGCTCTGCCACTGGCGGCAGTGCGTTCAGCTGCCTGGGCCCCAAACTCTGGAAATTCCCTCCCTAAACCTCTCACCTTGCTTTCCTCCTCAAGATGTTTGTGACCCAATGTTTGATCATATGAGATGGTGGAATACTTTGTTCTATATTGAAGTGAAGCAGCTTGGAATGTTGTATTATGTTAAATGCGCTGATGTTCAGTGCAAAGATCTATTTCATGGTATAGAACGATGTGCTTACCTTTGTCAGATGCCTTGCTTTGTTTAGTTGGGGTGCTGGCTAAACGTTTCTTAGCTTTTGGTTTCCTTTGAGGCTGGAAAAACATAAAGAGGTGGCGATTTCATTGAATCACAGCACAAATGAAGGCCAGAGATAACAAGGTGTAGAGCTGGATGAACACAGCAGGCCAAGCAGCATCACAGGAGCAGGAAGGCTGACGTTTCAGGCCTAGACCCTTCATCAGTAATGGGGGAGGGGAAGGGGGT